CTGATCTCAATCTCTGTCGACGTCAGCCCCAGCTTTCATACTCCAATCCGCTGGACAAGTAGATTTCGATTAAAAAAAAAAAAAAAAAAAAAAACGTTTTGGCGCGTTGGGCCTGGAAACTCCGCTGTACGTACTCAGTTTCAGAACTATTTTGGACACAGTAAAATCTGAACGGATTTCTGACGGATTTTTTCTTTCAGGATGTTTTCTGGACTTCGTTTTTTCTTCTGGCAAAAGGAAAAACGTGTTACCCGGAGACAGGGAATTACCGAGACCTGAGACAGGGAATTACCGACACCTCTACGAGTGACTGAGGATGAATCAAGTATTTAAACACCTAGGTACAGTAGTTACCCTCAGTAGTTACCCTCAGTAGTTACCCTCAGTAGTTACCCTCACATCGGAGTTGATCCTTACCCTCCGCACGAGGCTGGAATCTGGCTCCGGCCGAACCCGGAAAATGGAAGCCAGACTACTACCGTCAGCAGCGGGTGGTGGTAAAAGCCATATAGCTAGCTTGGAAAAAGCCAAATAGTTAGTTTGGTAAAAGCCAAATAGCTAGCTTGGTAAAAGCCAAATAGCTAGCGCTCTTGGCGTCTCGATCTCACCTTCTGAAGAGAACCTAAGCTTATACTCGTTTGCTTCAATCTGTTGTGTATTTTTCGACGAGTGTTCGATTCCGAAATAGATACACATCTTGGCGTGCTCTCAGCTTGCCTGTGTTTTTCGCGTACTGCTGATCTCAGCTTCTCTGCTGACGTCGGCTCCAGCTTTCATACTCCAATTGCTGAAAAGAAGCTCATCACCTACTAAGAATAAAAAATGAGGCCGGGCTGCCATTGAATAAATTACATGAATGCCCTTTGTGTGTCGCGTTTCCGGCCTCCAAAGTCCGCAGTGAGGAGCCCGCGGCTCCAAATGTGATGTGTACGGCCCTGCGCTGGTGGTTTACAGAGAAGCGATCCTATAGATCTTATCTTATATTTAGATAACCAATCCTATAGATCTTAAAGTCAAGCCATCTTATAGATCTTGTAGACCTCAATAGCTATCCTAAATAGATTATATAGATCAGATAGACTATAAATCTTATAGTAGGATAGGATAAGCAATGCTATAGAACTTACAGAACGTGGAGATCTTATATAGATCTTATATAGATCTTATATAGATCTTACATAGATCTTACATCGATCGTATAGTCAATAATTTTCCTAAAACGATATCATAGATCTGATAGATTATAGATCTTATACGATAAGCAATACCATAGCGCTTATAGAACTGGGATCTTTATAGATCTTATAGATCTTATTATAGATCTTATTATAGATCTTATTATAGATCTTTTTATAGATAGATCTTATTATAGATCTTAAGAGTTAAACCGCCAGTTCCCCCGAAGCAGAGCGCTTATAGAACTGGGATCTTATAGATCTTATAAATCTTATAGATCTTATTATAGATCTTAAGAGTTAAACCGCCAGTTCCCCCGAAGCAGAGTACTGATTTTGCCGGTCGACGAGGAATGAGCATTTCGATTTCGATTCGGGCCTGGGCCCGTAGCGAAAGCGGCAGGCCACTTTGGAAAAGACACAGTTGCAGGATCGCTAACCTCGGAAGGTAGGGGGGAAAAAAACAAGAAAAAAAAAACAAGAAAAAAAAAACAAGAAAAAAAAACAAGAAAAAAACAAGAAAAAATAACAAGAAAAAAAATAACAAGAAAAAAATAACAAGAGAAATATCAAGAGAAAAAAACAAGAAACAAAAACGAAAAAAAAAACAAGGTGTTGCTGTATCTTTCCACGTTGTAGGGAAGAT